TGTATGACTCAACAATTATCAGGTTAATTAGTAATTCTGTAAGTTAATCAAAAAATTCCTACATTATTCAGTATTTTTCTAATTTAGTGATTTCTTTTCAGAAATTCTTTACGCTCCTCAGTACTGTTTATCTTAATGCAATTCCCTATCAGATGGAAGTGTGGATACTCCAGTAATACTTCTCTCCATAACCCTCCCCCCTCCCTCACCCACAACAAAACATAAAGTTCACACGTCACATTTATAGTTAAAAGTGTTATTCTACTCTAATGCTAAAGAACCTGTTCTGTTACCATACACATAGCCTTCATGACAATGTGCATTGGTAGGATCCGGAGTCGGACTGGCCATTGAGCCATGGGCCATGAGCCCCCCGCAGTCGGTCATTATGGGCTCTCCTTTCCTCCCACTTATTAAAAAAAAAAAAAAAAAAAAATCTTCGAAATTAATTCAGGTATTACCCTGATTTTTAAATTCTAACTACACTGAGCCAACGACACGTGCACCAGGGGATGTTATTGCCAAGGTCTCTTCTCTCTATTAATTAATGGTGTACTGATGGATAGCCCAGTGAACACGACTATCAGGAGATGACCAGACGAGTGAATGATTCTTCTCAAAAAATGATAAACCTGGTGACTAATGCATATGTCATGGATGGCTATCAATACTAGCGGGGTGGAATGGGCCCCAACTATCAATACTAGCGGGATGGAATGGGCCCCAACTATCAATACTAGCGGGATGGAATGGGCCCCAACTATCAATACTAGCGGGATGGAATGGGCCCCAACTATCAATACTAGTGGGGTGGAATGGGCCCCAACTATCAGTACTAGTGGGGTGAAATGGGCCCCAACTATCAGTTCTAGTGGAGTGAAATACGCCCCAACACAAAATTAAATGGCACGGCCCCCAAACAGTGCCCAGTCCGCCTCTGGTAGGATCACAAGTAGTAGTAAATAACAAGGCTATGTTGAACCACGATTTCATTCTCATATACCACATGGTAGTAATGGTAGTAATACTTATATGGCAAAGGTGAGAAAAAGAGAGAGAAAATAGTCAAGATACACTCATAACTCCATACCATAAAACTCATTGTTCAAGGCATGGAAAAAGTAAGTATACTATTGACTGTATTGTCAAGGGAGGCGACCTATTCCTGCCTCCCTGCACACATTCTCCGGGACAGTGGTAATAACAACGCAGTGAATGGAAGACGCAATGTGATCAGTGAAGAAATTTTATTCACATATTCTTCATCATATTACACGAAAACAAATACCCTGTAATAATAATTGTATAAATGGGGTAAAAATAGAATAAATTTTGTAAATGGGGTAAAAATAGAATAAATTTTGTAAATGGGGTAAAAATAGAATAAATTATATAAATGGGGTAAAAATAGAATAAATTGTATAAATGGGGTAAAAATAGAATAAATTGTATAAATTGGGTAAAAATAGAATAAATTGTATAAATGGGGTAAAAATAGAATAAATTTTATAAATGGGGTAAAAATAGAATAAATCGTATAAATGGGGTAAAAAAAGAATAAATCGTATAAATGGGGTAAAATAGAATAAATTGTATATATGGGGTAAAAATAGAATAATAAGAGACTACTGTAGATCCTTACTTCATATACCACAGAAGTAACAATGACAAATTTAGGAACGACAGCTAAGTATAATGTTGATCCCTGATGATACTAGGAACAGGTGGTATAATGAATGTATTACTGGTAAGGAATCTATCAACGTATGTATTTAACTGAGTCAAACCAACTGCAGCGAAACTCAGCGCATTTATGGAACTAGAGATTAAAGAAAAGTTATTTATTTTAGTTTTAACTGGGCTAAGGTTAAGGTCACAGAAGGTCAAAATAGGGCAAAAATTAGTGGTATTTTTTCTGGTGAGAGGTCAAGTTTAATCTACGCAATGAAAAGGCACATTAACTTCAAATTGAGAAAACGACTGCTGAAAGATTTTATATGGTAACGACTGACGTATGGGTCAGAAGTGTGGACACCTTCGGCAGACACCAGCAAGAGAGTTGGGGGTCTTTGAAATGTGGTGTTATAGGGTAATACTATGAAGAAGCTACACAGACAGGAAAACAAATGAAGAAGTACTAAGATTCGCAAAAACTTCAAGAGAAATAATTGAAATGTACAGAAAAAGAAAAATGGGATATTTTGGTTATATAATTATGGACGAAGGGATAATAACAGAGATATTAATGGGCAAAGTTGAAGGTAGGAGGGCCAGGGGAAGGCAGAGACTGAGATGGATGAATGAAATTAAAAACTGGGTCCCCAGAGAGATACAAAATCTTGGAGGATCGGTAAAAAACAGCCCGAAAACGTTTAGAGCGGAAGTACTCCACTTTAAACGTTCTTGGGTCAACCCTCAGATATCAGGACGGTACTCTGATTGATTGAATTATGTATTCAAGATGATATATGAAAAAGCTAACTTGTTTCAATAAAAGTTTGGGTTTTCATAGAAAATTTGGTTATATCTGAGCCAAGTCAGGGTCACAATGGAAAGTCAAAATAAGGTGACTTATTGTTCGTCTTCGAGTGACTTGAACACGAGCATGATGTCATCTGTGGGTTTCATGGCCACCACGGACAATTTCAATTCTTCATGGCCAGGCGCCAGAGACATCTCAAACTTCAAGATCACCTTAGCCAATGCCAACTTGGCCTCCATGAAGGCGAACCTCATTCCTGCAAGAATATGAAAGACTATGAGAGAGAGAGAGACAGAGAGAGAAAGAGAGAGAGGGTCGTCACACCCAAGTGCAATGTTAACGTCACAAGCAGATCACAATAGAACACACAACTGCTGTGAAGAAGAACAAGAACAACTGAAGATATATGTTGCATATTAAGCTTTAGTAAGTTCTCATGACTTTACCAGATTATAGTATGAATTAAGCAGCTTGCAAAGATAAAGAAATAAATAAATTAAGTTACTTGTCTGTGTACAGTATAAAATTCTAAAATAAATATCTTCTCATGCGACTTTTTTGTATATAAATTAATCAAGTCAAGTTGGTACAGACAGAAAACTGATCTCAGCTACAGCACTACTGTACGGGTGAACTATTTTAATTTGAAACATCAAATTGGTCCTAAACAATTCGGAAAAATGGTCTCACACATTAATAGTTCTGGATTCCAGACCAAAAGATAAAGTGATATCAACATTTAACACAACACAGAGACCAATCATCCAACCGGTCTGGGACTTACCGATGCAGTTTCTGGGTCCAAGACCGAAGGGAAGGTAGGTGCCGCTGATCACATTGTGATTGTTCTCGGGCAAGAATCGGTCTGGGAGGAACTGGTCTGGGTTGGTCCAATAGCGAGGGTCATTTTGAAGACTCCAGACAGGCACGGTAACATGCTGTCCTTTCTTTAAGATAACGTCCGTACCTGGCAACCTGAGAGAGAGAGAGAGAGAGAGAGAGAGAGAGAGAGAGAGAGAGAGAGATTCACGTAAACTCAAACAATACTTTATAAAACACTGTATGACTGTACTGTATAAGTGCAAGGCTACAGGTGTATGATTTGTACAGGTGTATGACTGTATGGGATGTGTATTGATGCCCAAATCTGAGATCGTGTATACTGTATTTTTCCACCAAGGACAACTCCCTCCTCCTCCCACCACCCAGTGTCTTGTGTAAGGCAACCAATGACGTCAGCCCAATAGGGTGAGGTAATCTGTGATTGGGTGACACTCCTAGCCAACTTCTCTCGTATAACTGTATAGATGAGTGTATGACTATGGGTGGGTGTATGACAATGGGTGGGTGCATGACTATGGGTGGGTGTATGACAATGGGTGGGTGCATGACTATGGGTGGGTGTATGACTATGGGTGAGTGTATGACTATGGGTGGGTGTATGACTATGGGTGGGTGTATGACAATGGGTGAGTGTATGACTATGGGTGGGTGTATGATTATGGGTGTGTGTATGACTATGGGTGGGTGTATGACTATGGGTGTGTGTATGACTATGGGTGGGTGTATGACTATGGGTGGGTGTATGACTATGGGTGTGTGTATGACTATGGGTGGGTGTATGACTATGGGTATGACTATGGGTGGGTGTATGACTATGGGTGTGTGTATGACTATGGGTGGGTGTATGACTATGGGTGGGGTATGACTATGGGTGGTGTATGACTATGGGTGGTGTATGATTGTGGTGTGTATGACTATGGGTGGTGTATGACTATGGGTGGGTGTATGACCTATGGGTGGTGACTATGGGTGGGTGTTTGATATGGGTGGGTGTATGACTATGGGTGGTGTGTATGACTATGGGTGTGGGTGACTATGGGTGGGTGGGTATGACTATGGGTGGGTGTATGACTATGGGTGGGTGTAGACTATGTGTGTATGACTATGGGTGGGTGTATGACCATGGGTGTGTGTATGACTATGGGTGGGTGTATGACTATGGGTGGGTGTATGACTATGGGTGTGTGTATGACTATGGGTGGGTGTATGACTATGGGTGGGTAAAGGACTATGGGTGGGTGTATGACTATGGTGGAGTGACTACTGACTATTTATGACCAGGGTGGGTGTATATTGGTGTGTGGTGTGTGTGTATGACTATGGGTGGGTGTATGACTATGGGTGGGTGTATGACTATGGGTGGGTGTATGACTATGGGTGGGTGTATGACTATGGGTGGGTGTATGACTATGGGTGGGTGTATGACTATGGGTGGGTGTATGACTATGGGTGTGTGTGTATGACAGTATGGGTGTGTATATGACATTATGGGTGTGAGTGTATGACTATATGGTTGTGTGTGTATGACAATATGAGTGTGTGTATGACTGTATGAGTATGTGTATAACAGTATGGGTGTGTGTGTATGGGAGTATGCGTGTTTATGTATGACTAACCTGTAGTCTTGAGAACATTGTCGTTCAATTACTACTGCTATCGGGTTGAGTCTCTGAGTCTCTGTTCGGGAATAATAATAATGATGATAATAATAATAATAATAATAATAATAATAATAATAATAATAATAATAATAATAATAATAATAATAGAATTACTACTTCTTCTACTACAGTAATAATACCCTTTCTTGGTCTTGTACTGTACATATACAATTCTCAAGATTCACAAACCCATAAAACATATTACCTGGCAGAGCAATTAACACACCTGAAGATATCTTTGTCAGGTTAGGTTAGGTTAGGTTTCCATTTAACTTTGAATTAAATATTAATGTAAAATATCAACAAATTGTACATCACAGCGTAAATAGATACATCTCATTCTGAAGAGTTTCTCATACATTCACCTGAAAATTAGCCCCTAGATTAGTTCACCTGATGATTAAACACTCTGATGTTACCTTGGGTGGAGGGTTATGATAGGTTAGGTTAGGTTAACATTTGGGTGGTTAATTTTACGGTGAAATAGCTGGGAGGGTTAAACTTAAGGTGAATTAATCCGTCAGCAAAGGTCAACCACCGTCAGCAGGGGAGTCAACCACCATCAGCAGGGGAGTCAACCACCGCCAGCAGGGGAGTCAACCACCGCCAGCAGGAGTCAACCACCGTCAGCAGGGGAGTCAACCACCGCCAGCAGGAGTCAACCACAGTCAGCAGGAGTCAACCACAGTCAACAGGAGTTAGCCACAGTCAACAGGGGAAGTCAACCACTATCAGCAGGAGTCAGCCACAGTAACAGGGGAGTCAACCACCGTCAGCAGGGGAGTCAACCACCGCCAGCAGGGGAGTCAACCACCGCCAGCAGGGGAGTCAACCACAGTCAACAGGAGTCAACCACAGTCAACAGGAGTTAGCCACAGTCAATAGGGGAAGTCAACCACTATCAGCAGGAGTCAGCCACAGTCAACAGGGGAGTCAACCACCGTCAGCAGGGGAGTCAACCACCGCAGCAGGGGAGTCAACCACAGTCAGCAGGAGTCAACCACAGTCAACAGGAGTTAGCCACAGTCAACAGGGAAGTCAACCACTATCAGCAGGAGTCAGCCACAGTCAACAGGGGAGTCAACCACCGTCAGCAGGGGAGTCAACCACCGTCAGCAGGGGAGTCAACCACCGCCAGCAGAGCCAACCACAGTCAACAGAGTCAACCACAGTCAACAGGAGTTAGCCACAGTCAATAGGGGAAGTCAACCACTATCAGCAGGAGTCAGCCACAGTCACAGGAGTCAACCACCGTCAGCAGGGGAGTCAACCACCGCCAGCAGGAGTCAACCACAGTCAACAGGAGTTAGCCACAGTCAACAGGGGAAGTCAACCACTATCAGCAGGAGTCAGCCACAGTCAACAGGGGAGTCAACCACCGTCAGCAGGGGAGTCAACCACCGCCAGCAGGGGAGTCAACCACCGCCAGCAGGGGAGTCAACCACAGTCAACAGGAGTCAACCACAGTCAACAGGAGTTAGCCACAGTCAATAGGGGAAGTCAACCACTATCAGCAGGAGTCAGCCACAGTCAACAGGGGAGTCAACCACCGTCAGCAGGGGAGTCAACCACCGCCAGCAGGGGAGTCAACCACAGTCAGCAGGAGTCAACCACAGTCAACAGGAGTTAGCCACAGTCAATAGGGGAAGTCAACCACTATGAGCAGGAGTCAGCCACAGTCAACAGGGGAGTCAACCACCGTCAGCAGGGGAGTCAACCACCATCAGCAGGGGAGTCAACCACCGCCAGCAGGGGAGTCAACCACCATCAGCAGGGGAGTCAACCACCGTCAGCAGGAGTCAACCACCGCCAGCAGGGGAGTCAACCACCGCCAGCAGGGGAGTCAACCACCATCAGCAGGGGAGTCAACCACCGTCAGCAGGAGTCAACCACCGCCAGCAGGGGAGTCAACCACCGCCAGCAGGGGAGTCAACCACCATCAGCAGGGGAGTCAACCACCGTCAGCAGGGGAGTCAACCACCGTGAGGGGCACTGGCCACAGAGCACCGTGCCTCGGTTCGCCAGTAATTTCCCATGATTTTACAACTCTTCCATGGAAGCGTTGATCCAATGTCGTTATTCCACAGCAAATTTAGTGTTGCGAGCCAAACGGTGCTCGGCTTTCTCTTGGTAACGCAGCTGAAGAGTAACCACGAGCATCTACTTTATTTCAAACCTCTAAAAGTATTAGTAAATAAAAAAGAAAGAATAAAAAAATATCTAAAAAGTTAAGTAACTGTTCATCACCTGAGAAAATGGCGTCTAAGAATGGCGCCTCCATGATGGTCTGGTAGGTAAGCGTGCCGTGTTCTTCCACTATGTCCCTCAGTTCCTGACGAAGTCGGTGCTGGAGGTGTGGGTTGCGGGCCAGGTAGTAGGAGACGAAGGCCATGGTGCCGGCTGTAGTTTCATGACCCACGATAAGGAATAGGACGGACTGAGCGACGATCGTCGAGTCTTTTATAGCTGGAAAGGAGAGACCAAGAGGTAGTGCTCAGCAGGAAGTGGTCGAGTTGTACTGTACAGTAATGTGAAAGAGCATCGAACCTAACCTAACCTAACCGAAAACGTTGAAAATTTTACTCTTGGTGAGATATGATACAATTATATAATGACAAGAAACCTTTAGCACAGTCAAATATAAGTTAATCTTAGTTTCACGTAGTCTGGCCTAAACACACATGAGCTTATCTTATTATACCCCAGTCTAATATAACATAACCTAATCTAACCCCAGTATAACCTAACCTAACCTAACCTAACTTAACCTAACCTCATCCCAGACAAACTTAAACTAACTTAAACGTATTCCAGTCTAATCTAACTTATCTTACTCTGAGAACATAATAAGAATGAAAGAAACCTGAGCAGCGTTAGGTTAAGAAAGGCTTTACTTGTACCTTGATCCCCCATACAAACTATTGCAAGTTAATAAAGGATCATTGTCAAACTGAACGACCACACCTACAGTACGAGATCTTAACCCAAGAGAGTAAAACAGTACAGAGGAAAAGTCGTATTTTAAGTGACACCCAATAGGTTTCAAGTCTTGCAATCACATAAAACAAAGAAATAAATAAAATAATGAGAAAATGACGTCCCATGCTACTTAAGTTGCTACTTAATCAAAAAGCTTATTACGATGCTTGTTTTGTTTTTTTTGTCAGCTGCATTTTGTGCTGTACACTTGGCATTAATCTGTCAATGCATACTAATGGGAGCTCAGACTGGCAGCTAATAAATTCAAAGAACTAAACCTATCGTGAGCAGAATCTACACAATAAAATTCGTTAAGTAGCGGTGTCACAGTATTTCCTTGGCACCTCCTAAAAACTTTAAATGAAAGAAATTACAAATACTGTGAAAAAAAGTTATTCTTTACATTGATACACTGTAAACTGTTAGGCCCCGCTGAATCTATTTGGAGATCAACAGCCAACACCAACTTTTAAGCGTGATTAAATTACAGGGGAACAAAATATTGTAATTTAGACAACAGTTAAATCTCGTGTGATAAGTCACTTTAAAACCCCGTCAAGTGCAGACAAAATATATTCTTTCCTTTTTAATTTTTCTTACATTAATTCCTAACCTTAAAGACATTTCTCATTAAATGCATCGAATCTAATATTATTATCAATAGTGTTGCATTATTGAGTAATTCACGTATGTTCTTTAGTTTATAAGGAATTCATGCATATAAACAATAGGGTATTGTTATTGTACATCTCAGCTGATAAACGCTATGACCATATTTGGTGGCCTCTGTCTTGTGTTGACCAAAGATGTTCTATCAACTGTAATGTTTACATAAACATCGAATGAAAACAGATTATGAGTTATATCATTACCAGGAGGCAGGGGGTGACTTGAGGCTCCAGGTGGCGTCTTCTAACTAAGGCTCTGGATTTTCGAAGATTCGTTTATATAGTTTTAATTTTAATTGGTGATAATGCATATTATAACTGATTAACTTACAAAGACGGAGGCCAAGATGAGTACTAAACAGTGCCGATACTGTCTTAATTAACTGATCGCCTTCTGTTTGTCCCTCTGAGAGAAGAAAATCATCCTCCCAACCGATGCCAAATCTGAATTTAAACAAATACTAAACAAAGACCTGAACAACACTCACGGTACTTAGGTGTCTTAGTGTTCGAGTTGCTCTGCTCCTCCCGCTGTTCTAACAACAGGTCCAGGAAGTCTCCCCGCTTCACTCCCATCTCTCTATTCTTAATTGTCTCCTCCACCACGCGCTGGAAGAACAGGAACGGTGGAGTGGTAAAAGAAATCCCGATTGCATTCAACACTGAATTAGGTAGCGTTAACAGAGCTATTCCCCGTAATATTCCCCGCGCGCTGATGGCGTTCAGCTCACTTGCTTTCTTGCAAAATTCTTCCTCCTCATTGTTGATGGAGTTGCACTCGATACCGAAAGCACAGGTACCTATAACATCCATGACATAACGGGCGTAAATTGTCTTTGTCTTAACGAAAGATTTCTCTTGGCAGTGTCGCTGAAGACGTTCTATTAAAGCATCTGCTTTCTCCTCCACTAGGTGGTACATTTGACGCATCCTGCCGGAGGTGAAAGTTGGGGACATAATAGACCTGACGCCTTTCCAGTGGCTGCCGTTGATGAGAAAAAGCATTTCTCTAAAGCATTCGTCTTTCTTGGAATTACCAAATGTCCTGCGTTCGCTGAAGTGGTCAAAGTCCTGAATCATAATGCGCTTGACTAGCCCAGGGTCACGCACGATCAGGGACGGCTTGAAGATCTCGTAGGCGCCTACGAAGTTGTTCCCTTCATTCTCGTGATACGTCTGGGTGAAGAGAAACATTAACATGTATTTAAATAACATGTAGATGTTATAGGATCAAACACGGGGGCACATTATGAAAATAGTTGTGGCGTCATGAACAAATAGTATTTTTCTTTTAAGTAAGACATTAGGATCTCGGTTCATACTTGTAAATTGTTTTGGGGGTTGAAATTCTTGGATGATGGCAGGTAAGTGTTGTCTTAAATCATGTAAATATTTGCTACTGTAGCTACTAAGGGTATTACAGCTGACTGATTTAACCAATAGCATTGTTATAGAATATCAACATTTGAACTAAGAAACTTAAGGACAAAATAAACAAGTTGTTTTACTTGAACATTTCTTACACGACAGTGTGATTAGAGTTAACAGATTGTTGATATTGTACAGAGAACTGTGAGAGGCTGTGTAGTGTCATGGGTGAGGCCAGGGCTGGTCTTTGGGGGTGAAGCGGTGAGAGGGACCCAGGCTCACCAGCAGGGGTTAAAAACAACCTCGGGTAATAAAGCTCATCTGAATCACAAATTCACCATATTGTAATACCGGTAAAGGCTAGTGCTACTTCAGAACAGGGATGTGCCCTTCTGAGGGCCGAACTTCTGACCGAGTTAGAGAGGGTCAAGGAAGAAAACTTGAAATTAAAGGAAGTGTTAGTGAAGATGAAGAAAGAAACAAGAGAAGGAAAGCCAGTGTCTGACGAAAACTCAGGAGAATGGAAGGTTGTGAGGAGAGGAACGACCAAACTGGTGGTAAGAAAACACACCAAGGATAAGACAACAGCAGCTAAGTGTAAAAACTCTTTTAGTCCTTTGATAGACGAAGTGGACGTTAGCATAGTCAGGGACAGGGTGAACAAGGAAGGTAAGAAAACCTTAATTGTTGGCGATTACCAGGTACGGTATTTGGATAGAGCTTTTTGTGGTAAAAAGAAAAATAGGATGAGGGTTTGCTTGCCAGGAGCTGGGGTGGGGGATATATAGTTGACAGGATGGACAATATCTTGTCTGGTAATGGGAACAAACCTATTATCTGCCTCAGTGCAGGAGGCAATGATATTAGCCGGTGTTTTTGTGAGGAGCTCCTTGATACGTTCAAGACAGCTATAGAACATATTAGGTAGACGGGAGGGATCCCTATCATATGGGGTGTCCTGTCTAGAAAGAAAGGTGGCAATGAATGGTTGTCAAGGGCAGTTGGTGTCAACGGCAGTTTTGACAGATATTGCAAGTCAATATCAGTCCCATTCGTGGGCAACTGGGACAACTTTTACGGAAGAAGGGACCTTTATGCTAAGGATGGGGTACATCTGTCTAGGGCTGGGGTGGCATCTCTGGCTGGCTATCTCAAGAGGGCAATTCAAAAAATGTCGAAATCTTTAAATTGCTAGGGGAACATATGGGTACGGAGGTGGAGGAGACTGCAGTGGCAGAGGATAAACAAAGTGAAAGGTTACAGAGAAATAGTGCTAGGAATGATGACGAAACTAATTTAGGCAGGGAGTTAAAACCCAAACGCGTCAAAGAGAGGACTCAGAACACGACTAACTTAAATGTCTATTACTCAAACAGTAGGAGTATGAGAAACAAAATGGATGAAATCAGGGCGTTGGAATGTACCTAAAAAAATCGATATAATAGCATTCACCGAAACATGGATAAACTTAGACTCACGTAAGTTACCTGTCGAGTACCAAATTGCAGGTTGCAAATTATGCCATACCGATAGGCAGATTAGGAAAGGTGACGGAGTAGCAATCTTTGTCAGGGATAATGTGAAATGTGAAATAAATTAGGAAATAAAAACTGAACTGAATAAAGAATCAATTTTGATAGAATTAACCGATGGTAGGGGAAATCTAATCACCTCCTAATCTTGATAGAGTTAATGAGCGACTTATTTGGGATGAAATAACACAGGGCATCCAGACACAGCAACGTCTGTATAGTAGGCGACTTTAACTTTAGTCAAATAAATTGGATCGACCTTACTGATAACCCAGAATCAGAGGATTTTCTTGAAACAATCCAGGACTGTTTCCTAAGCCAACATATAACCGAACCCACCCGGGGTAATAATATACTCGATTTAGTTCTGTCAAACTGAGAAAACCTCATTAGTACTGCCGAGGTAGGGAACGAACTTGCGAACAGCGGCCACAAAGAAATTAGATTCATATTAGAATTTAAGGCAGTGGCAAGGAAAATTCCATTAAAGTTCCAGATTTCAGAAGGGCAAACTTTGATAGTTTGAAAAGGCAGCTGAGAAAAGAGGTATCACGTTTGGGTGTGAATTATATGACCTCACACAATGTACCCACAGAGGGCGACCTCACTCTACTTGGAGACCTGACAACGATAACCTCACAAAATATAACGGCTGAGGATGACCTGATCACAAGATCTGAGGTTGACGAGTTCCACAACAATTTAAATATTGAGTTACTTAATGCACAAAGGCAGAAAATACCATACAGAAAACTTGGATCATATAACAATGACTCTAATGGATAAATAATTATTTAAAGAATATTATTGGACAAAGGAAGGCTATAGGTAGGAGAATAAATCGTGATGAAATTTACCACCAAGATTATTATAAGGTATTGGCCAGTAGGGTTAAGACCGAGATAAGAAAAGCAAAGAGGAATAATGAACTGAAGGTAGCAAGGGAGGCAAAGTCAAACCCCAAGGGATTCTTTCAAATGTATCAAACTAAAACACGATAAAAGATTGGACGAATACAGTCAGATACCAGCGAGCTAACTGATAACGACGGAGAAATTAGCAATAATATGAATAAATATTTTTCAATAGTTTTCACCACCGAAAATTTAAATATGATACCCGAGGCACGGACTATATACAGAGATAGTGAAGAAAATAGATTAAGCGAGATAGTAGTGAATAGTAACGATGTTAGTAAGCAAATAGACAAACTAAAGCCTAATAAGTCACCAGGTCTCTATGATATATTTGCCAGAGTATTAAAGGAATGTAAAGAAGAGCTTAGTATGCCCTTAGCAAAGTTGTTTAACATGTCCTTAAAACCGTATGTAATTACCAGAATCCTGGAGGATAGCGAATGTAATACCGATTTTCAAGAAGGGAGATAGATTACTATCCTCTAACTATCGTCCAATCAGTTTAACATCAATTGTAGGCAAATTATAACTGGAAGCAATAATTTCAAACTCTATTCGAAATCACCTGGAGAAGCACAAGTTGATCACTGATTCCCAACATGGCTTCACAAGCGGGCGATCATGTCTAACTAATCTGTTAACATTCTTTTCAGCTGTTTTAGAATCAATGGACGATGGGCACGACTATGATGTGGTATACCTCGACTATAGCAAAGCCTGTGACAGAGTTCCCCACGAAAGACTAATAAGAAAAGTGGAGGCTCATGGCATTGGAGGAGATATTATAAAATGGATTAGGGCGTCGTTACAGGACAGGAAACAGCGAGTGAGCATAAACTGCAGTAAATCCGACTGGAGTAACATCACTAGTGGAGTACCCCAAGGCTCAGTACTTGGACCATTATTTTTTATTATATATATAAACGACGTAGATATCGGCATAGACAGCAACATGCGTAAATTTGCAGATGCCACTAAAATAGGGCGTGTAATTAAATCTGACTAGGGCTCCGCAAACTATAGGAAGATCTAAAAAACAAAAAATCGAGTCGTCTAAAAAATGGCAGATGAAATTCAATGTGGACAAATGTAAAGTACTTAGTCCAGGAGATGTAAACAGAGAAACCAGATGAACAACGTTGTTGTAGAGAAATCCGACTGTGAGAAAGATTTAGGAGTAATGATAAGTAGAAATCTTAAGCCAAGTAAACAATTTGTATTTGCTCGAAACAAGGCTAATAAAGTATTTGGTTTCATACAAAGGAGTGTTAATTACAAGACTAGTGAAGTCATCCTAAAACTATATCTTGCGCTTGTGAGACCTCACCTGGATTATGCAGTTCAATTCTGGTCATCGTAAGACAGAATGGATATAGAATCCCTAGAAAGAATTCAGAGGAGAACGACAAGACTAATCCCGGGCATTAATAACCTTGAGTACAGAGACAGGTTAAAGCATCTCAATTTGCACTCCCTCGAGAGACGTAGAGTGAGGGGCGATATTATAGAGGTGTATAAATGGAAGTCAGGGCTAAACAAAGGGGACATTACAAAAATACTCAAACTATCCAACCAGGAGCGAACTCGTAACAATGGTCTTAAGTTAGATAAATTTAGATTTAGGCGCGAGATAGGTAAACATTGGTTTGGAAATAGAATAGTGGCTGAGTGGAACAAGTTACCAAACATCATCATTAACTCTAATACGCTGGATAGCTTCAAACATAGGTTGGATGGATATATGAGCAATAAGGGTTAGGTGTAAACGGGACTGCCCAGTATGGGCCAATAGGCCCACTGCAGTTTCCTCCATTCTTATGTTCTTATGTTCTTCTTATGATCAGTGTGTGTGTGTGTGTGTGTGTGTGTGTGTGTGTGTGGGTGTGTGTGTGTGTGTGTGTGTGTGCGTGCGTGCGCGTGGTAATATAAAAACTAAGTGGAGTCGGGTACCTGGGTCACCTTTTTTAAGAAAATTTATCTTGGTCCATTAAATCCCAAATATATTATGGTCAACTCTTCCCCGACTTAGACGAGGGGTTAGCAGTTAAGGTGAATTAATTACTCCTGCCTGAACTCAAACTTAACCAGGTGACAATTTCCTCCAACAAATTTGAAATGAGTCGTGTAATTCTTCGAGGTCTGAGACCGACACCAAGACTGAAACAACAGAGCCTCGAGACCCACACCACTGGATCTGAGAAACCACTGTACCAATGTTTCAATACCATGTACTGTATCGTAAACTCCTAGCACCTAGAGGAACATTCTAGGACATATAGCTGTACACACACACACACACACACACAGAGTTGCAGGCTTTAAAGCTAGAGCGATAAAAAGCTGGATGGGCTATACATATGCATTATAGAGGTTTAAAAGCATCTCAAAGTATTTTCGTGAACGGTGGTATCGTTCTAAAAGGTATAAGCAAAACAAAAACGAACCTGATGATTCCACCGAGTGTATACAGTGAGTAACTGTGAAACGTTGTCAATGAATCACTGTATATGCAAACTCAAGTGGATATATTGACCCTATAATCAGTGGATCCTATAATCAATTAGGTGGGAATACAGGCGCACATTCATCACCAGACACTTGTATATAAAGAACGTTAGGTTGGGTTAGGTTAGGTTAGACAGCCTTACCTCATTTAGGAAGTGCCAAAAGGGTTTAGTACGCTTGAAGATCATGTGGAGATAAATGTAAAAGTTGCGAAAAACGGAATTTGAGGGAACACCACGTGATGACCAGTACGAACACTTCCTCCAGCAATACACAATGAACAGTAACACCACTGCCAGACCCACAGTCCACGTTGATGCCTCCATATTTGTTTTATTCCCTGGGTTTTTCTCTCTCTTGTTTTTTTATTGTTTCATATTCCACTTCTTGTCGTGTCATATACGTTCTCCGTGTCTCCTCTTGCTCAATCTGAAGAAGTAAAAAAGTAATATAGATTAGAGTGTCGTAGTTTAATTTTTTCTCGGGACAAGATAACAGTACCAGTCACATCTGAGCCTCAGTAAATTTGGGGTACTATTGCAGGGGCGAGTCACCTGAAGATTAACCACCCCACCTTATATTCCCTGAAGATTAACCACCCCACCTTATATTCCCTGAAGATTAACCACCCCACCTTATATTCCCTGAAGATTAACCACCCACCTTATATTCCCTGAAGATTAACCACCCCACCTTATATTCCCTGAAGATTAACCACCCCACCTTATATTCCCTGAAGATTAACCACCCCACCTTATATTCCCTGAAGATTAACCACCCCACCTTTTATTCCCTGAAGATTAACCACCCCACCTTATATTCCCTGAAGATTAACCACCCCACCTTTTATTCCCTGAAGATTAACCACCCCACCTTATATTCCCTGAAGATTAACCACCCCACCTTATATTCCCTGAAGATTAACCACCCCACCTTTTATTCCCTGAAGATTAACAACCCTTAATCTAACCTACATTACCTAAACTTAAGCCCCCAAATAATAATGGGCTGGTTAATCTTCAGGTGAGGTAAACTGGGACTGTATAATCTTTAGGTAATTCATTTTAAACGGGAATAGTTTTTTTTTTCATAATTTATGCTGACCAGTTGGACACTTCCTCACAACTCCAGTTACAGGATTTCTTTTTGTAATAACTATCATATATTATTTACAACTGATTTGGAGAGGTGAGGATGAACCACACTGGCTCAATGCAACATACTGGCTCATTGCACCACACTGGGTCAATGCATCACACTGGCTCATTGCATCACACTGGGACAATGCACCACACTGGCTCATTGCATCACACTGGGACAATGCATCACACTGGCTCATTGCATCACACTGGGTCAATGCACCACACTGGCTCATTGCATCACACTGGGTCAATGCATCACACTGGCTCATTGCATCACACTGGGTGATTGCATCACTCTGGCTCATTGCACCACACTGGGACAATGCATCACACTGGCTCATTGCATCACACTGGGTCATTGCATCACTCTGGCTCATTGCACCACACTGGGACAATGCATCACACTGGCTCATTGCATCACACTGGGTCAATGCACCACACTGGCTCATTGCATCACACTGGGTCAATGCATCACACTGGCTCATTGCACCACACTGGGTCAATGCACCACACTGGCTTGCACCACACTGGGTCAATGCATCACACTGGCTCATTGCATCACACTGGGTCAATGCATCACACTGGCTCATTGCACACTGGCTCATTGCACCACACTGGGTCAATGCACCACACTGGCTCATTGCACCACACTGGGTCAATGCACCACACTTGCACCACACTGGTCAATGCATCACACTGGCTCATTGCACCACACTGGCTCATTGCATCACACTGGGTCAATGCATCACACTGGCTCATTGCATCACACTGGGTCAATGCATCACACTGGCTCATTGCACCACACTGGCTCATTGCATCACACTGGGTCAATGCATCACACTGGCTCATTGCACCACACTGGGTCAATGCATCACACTGGCTCATTGCATCACACTGGGTCAATGCATCACACTGGCTCATTGCACCACACTGGCTCATTGCATCACACTGGGTCAATGCATCACACTGGCTCATTGCACCACACTGGGTCAATGCATCACACTGGCTCATTGCATCACACTGGGTCAATGCATCACACTGGCTCATTGCACCACACTGGCTCATTGCATCACACTGGGTCAATGCATCACACTGGCTCATTGCACCACACTGGGTCAATGCATCACACTGGCTCATTGCATCACACTGGGTCAATGCATCACACTGGCTCATTGCACCACACTGGCTCATTGCATCACACTGGGTCAATGCAACATACTGGCTCATTGCACCACACTGGGTCAATGCATCACACTGGCTCATTGCACCACACTTGGTCAATGCATCACACTGCCTCAACACAGGATGCGATTTTTCCCCACCATGTATTACCCACACTACTTTTACTATTGTATTCAAATTACCAGCAAGTAAATGTCCAGGTAACCCTTTCTAAATAAAAACCCCTTTATATTACTTTATTTACTTAATTCATGTTGAAAATAATGAATTACAACTTGAAAATAGCCCAAACAAGTAATGTGGTTAACAAGTGTATGGTAATGTTAAAGGCATTACAAACCAACGTACTATTTAACTGAATAGAAAAATCCAAACATTTATATAATAATAATAGTGAAATATGAGCAAACACACAAAAAGTATAAATTGCTAGTTCAACATAAGAAAATTTTAACTCTAACGCTAAGTCACAAATAGGCACATTTAACATATCTAACAAGCATCATCCGTAACCTTAATAATTTAATAACTAATCATTGTGACTGTAAGAAGCGCTGGAAAAAACGCCAATAAAAACAAGGCGTAGACTAACTCATTCTTGGCAACTTCCACACACACACACACACACACACACACACAGAGACTGATATAGCTATGAGAACAGCTCAGTCCAAACCATTGTATAAATTATCAACAACTCGTAATCAACCAATCTATTCACTCCCAGCCAATTTTATCTTTTTTGCACTGTCAGTATGTTAAAACGCCCTGTAGTATAACCTTCTCCCCCACCTTGTTATTATATATCATAATTGTATCACTTACGTTAATTGTATACTATTTATCAATCAAGTGACCCATTCCCCAATTATGTAACTGAATATTTTCAACCTTTTGGCTGCCGTGATCTTTCAATACACAGTAAATTATTATTATTATTATTATTAGACATACACAGTTACACACACAGATATACACAGTTACACACACAGATATACACAGTTACACACACAGATATACACAGTTACACACATACACATAGAAATACACAGTTACACACTGACATACACAAACCACTCACACAGACATACACACATACCCACACAAACACAAACACAGACATACACAGACAAACACAAACACAGACCCACACACACATACACAAACACAGACCCACACAGACATACACAAACACAGACCCACACACACATTCACAAACACAAACTAAAATTAAAACGCTCTACCAACCCCATTGACTTACCAATGAAACTATTCAAGGAGTTCTCCCCGGAGCTTGCTAAACCCCTCTGCTCCATCATCAATGCTTCTCTCAGTCAAGCCAGATGCCCAGCTGACTGGAAGACCTCTTATGTATCACCAGTGCCCAAGTCAACCAGCCCACAATCCTTAAATCAGCTACGACCTATTGCAATCACCCCAATACCCAGCCTAATCTGTGAAAGTTTTGTGTTTGACTGGGCTTATGCTGATATTGCAGGAGTCGTAGACCCTCAGCAATTTGGCAACATGAAAACTTCCTCCACCACTCACTGTCTTGTCAGCTTTCTCGATTACATATACCGCCATCTCGAGAAACGAAAAACGTCTGTAGCTGTCGCCTTCATTGATTTCACTAAAGCGTTCGACCTAGTCGACCACAATATAATCATAAACAAAGCTATTGACCTCGGGCTTCGGAGAAGTCTCATACCATGGCTTACAGACTTCCTCAGTGACCGACGCCAAGCTGTACGCTTCCGAGGGGCTGTCTCCACCTTTCAGTCACTCACCTGTGGCGTCCCCAAGGCACCAAGATGGGACCACTCTGCTTCCTTATGCTCATCAATGATGCCCTAAGAGAAACCCCTGCTCGCTGGAAATATGTCGACGACTCCACCATTGGGATCAGCGTCAACAATTCTGCTCCCAACTATACCGCCCTTCAGGATTTATTGAACAGTCTCCAAAACTGGGCCACCAACAACCATGTCACCATCAACCATACCAAGACCATGGTTATGCACATCAACCTCTCCTCCGACATTGTCCCACCTCCTTCCATTACCCTAGGTCCGAACACACTCCAGGTTGTAGATTCCACGAAGCTCCTCGGCGTCACCATAGACAACAAACTAAATTGGAAACCACACGTCAGTGAAGTTGTCAAATCCTCCAGTTTCCGTCTCCACCTCCTCCGCCGACTCAAGTCCCTCGGAGTTCCCGCACACGAGCTCCTCAGTGTATACACAACATTCATACTTCCCAAGCTCACCTATGCCTCCCCCACCTGGTCTTCCTCCCTAAATGCCACACAACGTAAACACCTAGAAAAAGTGCAAAAGAGGGCATGCAAGATTATTCTCTCCCCTTCCTACTCCACATATCAAGAAGCGCTCAACACACTGACCCTTTCGACTCTCACTGACCATCACCACGGCCTCATCTGCAAATTTGGTAAGAAGCTTCTACACCATCCCCGACACCGGCCCCTACTACCACCTGAGATCCCCTGTCCGAGAATTGCTGTTCGACACCACAACCGCATCCAGCCCATACGTGCACGAACTGATCGCTATAAGAACAGCCCAGTCCCAACCATTGTAAAAATTATCAATAACATGTAATAAATCAGTGTATTCACTCCCAGTAAACACTGCTCCCTACACTGTCACTATGTTGAAATGAACTGTAGTCTGAGCTGATCCCCATCTAAGTTACTATATGTCTTATTTGTGTCACTTATGTCACTTGTATATTATTTGTAATTCGTAACCCATTCCCCTAATATGTAACTGTATATTTTCAGCCTTCTGGCTGCCAAGCTCTTTCAATAAACCGTTAATTATTATTATTATTATTATTAAACACAGACCCACACAGACATACACAAACACAGACCCACACACACATACATACACAAACACAGACCCACACAGACATACACAAACACAGACCCACACAGACAAACACAAACACAGACCCACACGTAAACAAAATACTCTTAAATTTCTCAGTGATTCGTAAGTTAAATTTCAAATATAAAATCTAAAGCGGGATATGACTTATATTAGGAATCTTTGAGAATTCGAATAAATATATACTGTAGATTCAAACCTCAAACTAAACATTTACACTTCACATAACCTGCCATGGGCGACGGTCCACTTACGAATTGGTAAAAACAGAGTCAACAATGTACACAGATATTGTGCTCTTAACACTATGACTAAGGTTCAAAAGTGACTGGGGCTATCAGCTTACCTTGATAACCTGTGGGTGTTGGCTACACTGATCTACAGCAGGTTGATACCACATACCCCAGGAATATTGATTATCTAAAGTTAATTCTATTACCCAATAACACCATTGTAATATTTATTTAGAAATACGAAGAATATAAGATATTTTCAGAAATACTTGTACATTTTGGGGAATGTTTGGTACTTATAATAAATGCCTCGTTTTTTTATGACGCTGTAAGGCAACTTTAACTGACGTAACCTGATGCCTCAGCTGACGACAAAGTGATGCAATAATTACCTTTTTTATTTGTTTAGAATTTTACAAAAGTTTCACTTGATAAGTATCTTAACAGACGCCTAAATTTTCAAGTTCCACGTCGTAACTTGAAAATCAAAGCGCATCTGGGAGGAGAATTATTAGAAAAAAATATCTTTCACAACCGTCCGAATTTCTATTGGGATTTTATTTTTTTATTTTTATTTATTTATTGGGCACTCCTCTACAGCCTTGTGCAAGGTGAAGCGCAGAAGCGTTTACAGTGCCCAACAAGGAAGCATGCTAACTTCATGCTTGCCTTTATGTCTCATGAGTTAAGGGCATAGAAGCCTGAAGAGTCAATGGTTTATGTCATCAAGTTATTGGAAGCTCCAACAACTTGTCCCCGAATACGAATTCGCAACTTTCGATTTACACCAGGTACCTACTTTACTGCTAGGTGAACAGGGACTAATGGGGGCCAGGAAGTATGTCCAAACAACTTCCACCGGCCCGGGAATTTCTAGATAACGCCACAGCTTTGATTAAGGTCACTGTTGTATGATCTGAGTTTTTTGAATAGTATGTTTTGCCTTTGTGCATTAAGTAACTCATTATTTAATTTGTCGTGGAACTCGGCAACCTCAGATCTCGTTATCAGGTCGGTTTCAATCGTCAGGTCCAATAGTTCACCCCCAAGCGTGATACCCCTTCTCTCAACAGCCTCTTCAAACTATCAAAGTTTGCCCTTCTGAAATCTGGGACTTTTGTGGAATTTTCCTTATGGCTACCCTGGAAATCTAACTGGAATCTAATTTCTTTGTGATCGCTGTTTGCAAGTTTGTTCCCTACCTCGACATGACTAATGAGGTTTTCTCTGTTCGACAGAACTAAATCGAGTAATACTAAACAAATTTTTCGAATGGTCGGAAAAATGGCAGATGAAATTCAATGTGGACAAATGTAAAGTACTCAGTATAGGAGATGTAAACAGGGAAACCAGTTACCAGATGAACAACGATGCCATTGTGGAATCCGACTGCGAGAGAGATTTAGGATTAATGATAAGAAGGAATCTTAAGCCAAGTAAACAATGTGTTTTAGCTCGTAACAAGGCTAATAAAGTACTTGGGTTCATACAAAGGAGTGTTAGTTACAAGACTAGCGAGGTCATCTTAAAATTATATCTAGAGCTTGTCAGACCTCACCTGGATTACGCAGTTCAGTTCTGGTCACCGTATTACAGAATGGATATAGAATCATTGGAAAGAATCCAGAGGAGAATGACAAGACTAATCCCGGGCATTAGGAACCTTGAATACAGAGACAGGTTAAAGCATCTTAATTTGCACTCTCTCGAGAGACGTAGAGTGAGGGGCGACATGATAGAGGTGTATAAATGGAAGTCAGGGTTAAACAAAGGGGACATTACAAAGGTACTCAACTATCCAACCAGGAGCGAACTCGTAACAATGGTTTTAAATTAGACAAATTTAGATTTCGGCGTGAAATTGGTAAACACTGGTTTGGATGATTGGAACAAGTTACCAATTATCATCATTAACTGGAATACGCTGAATAGCTTCAAACATAGGTTGGATGCTTATATGAGCAATAGGGGTTGGGTATAAACGGGACTGCCCAGTATGGGTCAATAGGCCTGCTGCAGTTTCCTCCATTCTTATGTTCTTATGTTCTTATATTATCCCCGGGTGGGTTCGGTTATATGTTGACTTAGGAAACAGTCCTGGATTTTTTCAAGAAAATCCTCTGATTCTGAGTTACCCGTAAGGTCAATCCAATCTATTTGGCCAAAGTTAAAGTCGCCTACTATACAGACTTTGTTGTGTATGGAAGCCCTGTGCATTTCATCCCAGATAAGTCGCTCATTAACTCTATCAAGATTGGGAGGTCTATATATTACTCCTGTGATTAATTTTCCCCTACCGTCGATTAATTCTATCCAAACTGTTTCTGTATTCCGCTCAGTTTTTATTTCCTTATTTATTTCACACTTCAGATTATCCCTGACATAGATTGCTACTCCGCCTCCTTTCCACATTGTTGTACTTCATCTAAATTTAACCCTTTCACTATATGTATCTCTAATGGGTAAACCTGACGTATGTACACAGCGTGGAGATAGGCTGGCGTAGGCGTAAAACGGAATGTACCTTAATATATTAAAGAAAGGAACATTTTGCACTCATTTAGACATAAAACGGGAGAGTAAAATCTGGCTTACACGTAGAACAAGGTATTAATAAAAATACAATTGATAAAAACTGAAGGTGTAGAAAAAGAGCTTAGGATAAAATGATGAATAAGAAAAATAAATAATAGGAAAAAAAGACGCGACGGGGAGTTCCCCTGAGATGACGTCAACAAAGAAAGCGATTAAGGTCATTTCCTTCTGTTACGTCAGCTGAGAGGGAACCTGACAGCCTAACTGACCTACAGTGTGTCTAAAGTTTGTGTAAGTTGAATATTCCTCGTAAATAAAAATGTGCCAAGCTTCTTAAGTTAAAAACACGAAAATATAAAACCTAGAAATAGTTTTTACCGAATCTATCTATCTATCTATCTGTCTATCTATCGATCTATCTATCTATTTATCTATCTATCTATCTATCAGTCTTTCTATGTGAGATTTCATCAAATTGGTTCACTTGTAAGTTACTATATAAACACGCTGCCATGGAGATAACAAAATAGTAACATCATCCTAAATATATAAAAATAATAACAGAATAATGCTGTAACGTTATCCTAGAGGCAGAGAATAACAAGTCCCAGAGATGGATATAAGAATGGCATCAATACAGTCATCATGTTAGCCTAGGGCTCCACTGTACAGGCCTCGGTAGAGGTAGTAACAGAATTTGACCAACACCCCAGACTAACATCACTATAGACAGACTAGAAAATATCTACTCTATACCATAATCACTTTACAAAATTATAAACTACCAAGAGTAGTACGGTACAAACCTGTTAGAGCTCTTCAAGCGACGCACAGCGACTAAAGCTCAGGCTTCTCTAGATATGATAATAACGACGACCTTGCATCAGAATTCCACCAAGTTGCAAGATACCTCTACACAGCAGCGTTATAATAGTCTTTATTCATTATTTGAAGTCATTTCAAATAATTTATTTGTTATGGGACTCGACGTCTCCAAAGCATTTGACAGGCAGTCTTTGCTTTCTAAACTTCCCTCTTATGGTTCTCTCCCCCACTTTGTTTTCTAATCTCTAGCTTCCTTGAGAACCGATCCATGGCAGTTGTTGTCGTTAGGCCACCTGGCTTATTGCATCATAAACTTTGTAATTACTACATTGAATCGGGGTGCTTGAGGACATTCTTGCTGTTTATCCCAAATTTGCTAGCCCACACTGATTAGTCTTCAATTTGAATATGACGTCCAATGTATATGAACTACTGTCCTGCATGGCAGTGAACAGTAACATTGTAGTGGATTCCTCCCCTACAAACGCTGTTTGCCGCCGAGTAGCCGACCCCGCGAATTCCCCAGTGCATACCTCGTGGTCTAGGTCAACCATGCGCCGCCATACATGACGGAGGTCAACTATTAAGCCACGCCTACTTCCGCTATATTAGACCTGACCTCGTGGTGACCTACCTCTCTTTTGTACTTACAGCCACCAGCAAGCAACGCCTTCTCCTCCTCCTCCTCCTGCCTGGCGGTCCTCGCTCCCGTCGGCGACCATGGCGACCCACAAGCTGGTCCTCCTCTGAGCACCCTCACCAACCAGCTCTCTCTACTCAACGCTTGTAACCATGCTGCCTTCCCAGCACCAAGCTGCATTATACATTTAATACAATATGTATACAGAGAGCATATTGTGAGTTTCCTTTCTCCATCCCATCCTGAGTGTGAACCCAAACCTAACGTACCCCACAAATGCTGACCCCCGGAGATTCGCACCCACACAGGATGGAGGAGAAACCGATCACTCTCCCAGTCTTCAAGCAACATGGAAGACTGGCTTATCCACACAGAGGCAGCTCTCACCGGCTCTACAGCTACTGTCTCTACACTGCAGGTTGACACCCTTGAGCAGCACTGCTTCTCTAAGCAGACACCAGCTCCTCTTCCTGCCCCAAGCACCACGTCTTACCGACCCCAGCACACCCGTCCTGCCTCAGACGCCGCCCCGGCCCAGCACTACCCCCTGCCACTGTCCTGGACCCTCTTCCTGACTCGGACCCTCCTCGGCTCCTGCCTGGCAGCCCCTGCTCCCGACGCGGCCCATGCGCCTGAGTGCGGCCCCACACACCCTTTTTTTCCCTCAGGTACTCCCTGCTACTTTCCTTCACCCTGTTGCTGTCGTGGACCCTGCTGCTGTCATGCACCCTGCTGCTGTCATAGACCCTCTTCCTGATGCAGCCCCTGCTCCTGACCCAGACCCACACACCCCAGCAGGCGCATCTGAGGACTCTGTACCTGCCGCGAGGGAAGCAAAAAAATTCATCGCCTCCACAACCCTTCTTCTCCCTCTCTCCTCCCACAGATCTCGTGTATCTAGACAAAGTTGCCTCCCGTAGCGACCGGCTAATCCACGCCCTCGCCGTTATGTCTCACATGTGGCATACAACCAAGCCGACAACAAGTCTCCTGCACCGCCCGTTCTGCCTCACATGTGGGATGCAACCCTACAGACAACAAGTCTCCTACACCGCCTGGAGGGAAGGGGGAGTATTGTAGTGGATTCCTCTCCTACAAACGCTGTTTGTCGCCGAGTAGCCGACCCCGCGAATTCCCCAGTGTATGCCTCGTGGTTTAGGTCAACCAGCGCCGCCTTACATGACGGAGGTCAACTATTAAGCCACGCCTACCTCCGCTATATTAGACCTGACCTCGTGGTGACCTACCTCTCTTTTCTACTTACAGCCACCAGCAAGCAACACCTCCTCCTCCTCCTGCCTGGCGGTCCTCACTCCCGCCGGCGACCATGGCGACCCACAAGCTGGTCCTCCTCTGAGCACCCTCACCAACCAGCTCTCTCTACTCAACGCTTGTAACCATGCTGCCTTCCCAGCACCAAGCTGCATTGTACATCTAATACAATATGTATACAGAGAGCACATTGTGAGTTTCCTTTCTCCATCCCATCCTGAGTGTGAACTCAAACATAACGTACCCCACAACATCACCCACATGACTCTGACCTATATATACTGCTAATGATTATGATGTATTTCTTTGTGTGTGAACCTCTGTCTCGCATCTCAATGGACATTGACATCACCCACATGACGCTGACCTATATATACTGCTAATGAATATGATGTATTTTTTTGTGTACGAACCTCTGTTCTACATGGCAGTGAACAGTGACATCACCCACATGACTCTGACCTATATATACTGTTAATGAATATGGTGTATTTCTTTGTGTATGAACCTCTGTCCTGCGAGGCAGTGAGAAATGATACCACCCTCAGTGTCAAGACCTGACTAAATTACTCAGAATAGGCAATCTGCACTCCAAGCTTTGTCAATAAATTTGTTAAACTTAAAAACGTGGGATTAATCTCTGGCTCGTTCTCTACCAACAGTGATGTCCCACAGGGTTCTGTTCTTTCACCTACTCTCTTCCTTCTTTTTATCAGTGATTTACTTCACACTACAACTAATTTTATCCATTCTTACGCTGATGATTCTACTCTTCACTCTTCTTCACATTTTCCCCTTCCTCCTAACTCTCAAACTAGATCTGTTTCTAGAGCTGATATCATTTCATCTATATATAAGAACATAAGAATGAAGGAAACTGCAGCGGGCCTATTGGCCCATATTAGGCAGTCCCAATTACTGTACATCCAACCCCTATTGCTCATATATCCATCCAACCTATGTTTGAAGCTATCCAGCATATTTGAGTTAATGATGGTATTTGGTAACTTGTTCCACTCGTCCACTACTCTATTTCTAAACCAATGTTTACCTATTTCGCGCCTAAATCTAAATTTGTCTAATTTATAGCCATTGTCCGAGTTTGCTCCTGGTTGGATAGTTTGAGTACCTTTGTTATATCACCTTTGTTTAACCCTGACTTCCATTTATACACCTCGACCACATCGCCCCTCGCTCTACGTCTCTCAAGGGAGTGCAAATTAAGATGCATTAACCTGTCTCTATACTCAAGGTTCCTAATGCCCGGGATTAGTCTTGTCATTCTCCTCTGAATTCTTTCCAAGGATTCTATATCCATTCTGTAATACGGTGACCAGAACTGAACTGCGTAATCCAGGTGAGGTCTCACAAGCTCTAGATATAATTTTAAGATGACCTCGCTAGTCTTGTAACTAACACTCCTTTGTATGAACCCAAGTACTTTATTAGCCTTGTTACGAGCTAAAACACATTGTTTACTTGGCTTACGGTTCCTACTTATCTTTACTCCTAAATCTCTCTCGCAGTCGGATTTCTCAATGGCATCGTTGTTCATCTGGTATCTGGTTTCCCTGTTTACATCTCCTATGCTGAGTACCTTACATTTGTCCACATTAAATTTCATCTGCCATATTTCAGATCATTCGAAAAAGTTTGTTTAGATCTTCGTGTAGTTTTGCGGAGTCCTCGACAGATTTAATTATACGCCCTATTTTAGTGTCATCAGCAAATTTACTTAAGTTGTTGTCTACGCCGATATCTATGTCGTTTATGTATATAATAAATAAGTTAGTTGTCCAAGTACTGCCGATATCTATGTCGTTTATGTATAGAATAAATAATAGTGGTCCAAGTACTGAGCCTTGGGGAACTCCACTAGTGACGTTGCTCCAATGCGATTTAGTGCCGTTAATGTTCACTCGCTGTTTACTCTCCTGTAACCACGCCCTAATCCATTTTAGAATATCTCCTTTAATGCTATGGGCCTCCACTGTTTCGTAAGGGATTCTGTCGAAGGCTTTGCTAAAGTCAAGATATACCACATCATAATTGTGCCCCTCGTCCACTGATTCGAAAACAGATGAAAAAAATGTTAATAGATTAGTTAGACATGAACGCCTGCTTGTGAAGCCATGTTGGTTAAATTCAATAACAATAAAACTCAGTATTTACCAATTACACTTTCTAAATTAGATGATCTCCCACCAATTACATTTCAGGACGCAATCATTCTGCCAAATTCTGAAATAGATATGCTAGGCCTCACCATTTCCTCTAATATGTCATGGAAGCCACATATCCTCAACATTGTTAAAGCTGCCTTCCGAAAATTGGGAATGCTGTACAGATGCTGTAGCTACTTCACTCCTGAGCAGTTGCTTCAAGTATATAAGGGATTCATTCGTCCTAACTTGGAATACTGTTCTCATATCTTGGGTGGCTCTTCCCTTTTTCTTCGCCGCGATGTTGCTTTACTCTCTCTCTTTTACAGGTACTTTAACGGGCATTGCTCGGTGGATTTGGCATCCTGTGTACCACCGGCAAGGCTCATAACACACGTCTTGCCCGCGGTTCCCACCATTTCTCTGTGGCTGTCGGTCACCCTAGAATAACCCGTTATAGTACATCTTCTTTCCTCACACAGCCAAACTGTGGAATGCTCTGCCTTCTTCTGTATTTCTATACTCATACAATGTCTCGCTTTAAAAAGCTGGCTTTCCGGCATCTTCGTGGTGTAGATTAACATAACTTTTTCCTTTTGTATTTTTAATATCTTTTTATTCTTATTTTTTCGCCCCCTAGGCCATGATGTGGGTCGATAACCTGTGCCCAGGTGGGCTATTCCCCGTAAAAAAAGAAAAAAAAAAAGAAAAGGAGAATAGCCCACCCGGGCACAGGTCAACGACCCACATCAGGGTCTAAGGGGCGAAAAAATATGAATAGACAAAAATAAAAATAGATAAGGAAACGGATTGATCCACCATCCTCCGCCGCCACTGGCAGGGTAGGGGGGGGGTGGCTCTGCATTTTTCAATATAACTAAGTTTCTATAATAATTTTACACTTTCTGATGATCACAATTTATTTAATAACCCATGCAGTATTTCAGAGTTGAATAGGCAACTCAGCAGGGCGTGTGTGTGTCCCCCAGGAGGTCGGGGCTGTAAGG